CCACCTAATCATACATTCTTTGACTATCTCATCTTGCATTTTAATTTCTAACAAATAATCATACATTTTCTTAATTACTTTATCATTTGAGCTCAGCAGAAGTTTGTCAAATATCATTTGTTCTGGATAAAAACCTTCTATTTTGTCTTTTCTATACCTAGATTCCACTTGTGCTCTGGACCACCAGTCTATATATATATTTTGTTTCTCTAACTCTTCTTTAGACCCTAACTCACAATCCTATTTGGCTTTTTTGACAGCTGCACCACACTGCTGACTCATCCTGAGGCAGTGGTCCACCAGGACACCTAAATCCCTTTCACAGGTACTACGGTAGAGCCAGGTATCATCACCTAAATCCCTTTCACAGGTACTACTGTAGAGCCAGGTATCATCTATCCTGCACCTGTGCACCTGGTTTCTCCTGCCTAAGTGCAGGACCTTACTTTTTCCACCACTGAACTGCATCTTATTGGATAGGACCCAATGCTCAAGTCTGTCTAGATCCTTCTGAATGTTGAGTCTATCTTCCAAAGTATTAGCAATTCCCCCCTGCTTTTATGTCATCGGCAAATTTGATGAGTGTTCCTTCAATCCCCTCATCCAGGGCATTTACGAAGATGATGAAGAGCACTGGGCCCAAGACAGAACCTTGAGGGACCCCACTGCACACTTCCCTCTGCAAAGATGTGGTTCCATTGAGGACCATGTGGATGGTCAGCCAGCTGCAAATCTACCTGGCAGTTGCACTGTCTATCCCACTTTGTTCTATCTTACACAGAAGTAGATTGTGGTCTACCTTACCAAATGGCTTACTGAAGTTCAAGCGGTAAAACCATTCCTTAAATACCTCACTTACCTATTAGGGTTGCTATAGGACAGATATGACTTGACAACACATCACACACACTAAGGCCCTCAGCTTGCAGAATTCACTATTACTAATTCTTTATGTTATTTACATCCCATCTTTCCTCCAGTGGGATCATGGCTTAGTATATGTATCTTTCTGTTCCACCTTATTTTATCCTCACCACAACTCTGTGAGGTAGGCTGGGCGGAGAGAGACAAAGTGAGTATGTGTGTCAGGCCAAAGGTCACCCAGTGAACTTCCTGAGTGGAGTTTCAAACGCCTACCTCTGGAGTCATAGTCCAACAGTTGCATTACATTGGCTGTTAAAAAATAAAAATTTACTGTCCACCAAATTTAATTCCCTAAAAGCACTAAATGAAAACAAACACAAGAACACACTGTAAGTTGGTCATTTTATTAGCTGGAATTACAGAAATGAGTAATGAAAATTGGGAAGCAATGAATACATGCAAAATGGTTCTGAACTCAGTTATTATATCAGATTATTCTGGATATAATAATTCTTGAATATTCCCAAAAGATGCTTTTGTAGTTTGTCTTGTTGTCAAACCAACTAGAGGCAGTGACAGATTTTACTTTCTTGGGCTCCGTGATCACTGCAGATGGTGACAGCAGCCACGAAATTAGAAGATGCCTACTTCTTGGGAGGAAATGTGAGGGTCCGTTAGTCTTCGCCTCCCCTGAACCAAATAAAACAGAAGACGTTTTTAAATCAAACTTTTCTTCATTTATTAACTTGGGTAAGGGAATGGAAATGTCCACCAACTTGGGAATAAACTTCTCCTGTGTGAGCAACGGCTCATACAGGGGCACCCAATCTTCATCAAACGGGTTGCTTGACCTCGCCGCCCATGGGCCAGCCTGAACCCGGGTGGTCGACAAAGGTCCACATAGTCAAAGCTATGGTTTTTCCAGTAGCGATGTATGGAAGTAGGAGCTGGACCATAAAGAAGGCTGACTGCTGAAGAATTGATGCTTTTGAATTGTGGTGCTGGAGGAGACTCTTGAGAGTCCCCTGGACTGCAAGGAGAACAAACCTATCCATTTTGAAGGAAATCAACCCTGAGTGCTCACTGGAAGGACAGATCCTGAAGCTGAGGTTCCA